CCGTCAGTTCTCCTCCAGACTTCATCCCCATCATAGGGTGAGCTAGAAGGTGAGTGATGGATCCTCCCTGCGTTCAATGGCTTGTGCATCACGCTGCCGTGCGTTATGCAGAAGTTAGGCTGATGTTGGTCAGAAGTTCTGGACTCGTGATGAAAACTCTATGCTTACGCAGAAAATTGAAAAAAATCCAAAGAAAGTTCAGTGTATGCCAGCAGTTTAGGAGATTCTGTGTGACAGCGGCTTAAAGCAGAGTTTTTCAATCCTGGTCCTGCATGTTTCACATGTTTTTCTGCTTCAACACACCTGATTCCAACGACTGGAGCTCAGGAAAGCCTGTTCATTTGCTATGAATTGAAATCAGGTGTGTGATAGCTGAGAAACATCCTTAGACATGCAGGGCAGAGAGCGCTGATGACACAGCTCTAAAAGTGATCCAGAGGAGGAAGGGAAGAAGATCAGGGAGTCTGATCAGACTAAGATGAGCAGTTTAGTCTAAACTTAAATGATACAACAACCCAAACAAAACCATCCTAACCATGAAGCATGGAGGAGGAAACATCATTACTCTGGAGAGGAGGATCCAAGCCAATGACCTCCCTCCCTCAGTGAGGGCATCGATAGAAGATGGCTGGGTCCTGGAGCGGCCTAGCTGGCCTCTGGATTTGCAGTGTGATCTGCAAAGGTTCAACCTGCCAGGTGGACTAAGGTGGGTTGAAAATGACAAACGGGTGAAACTAACGTTTAAGCATAAACTGAATCACTACATTTTTGATTGAACTAATTAGTGATGCTGATAAATACCGTATTCTCCAGAATATAAGCCTCTACTTTTTCCCCACGCTTTGAACCTTGCGGCTTATAAGAAGGCACTGCCTTTCTGTTGATTTTCTTAGCCGCCAGAGGGGGAAGTCAGAGTAGGAAATGAAAGAATGAGGGGTTCATTTTCATTTAGCACAGGAACATGCTAGCAGCAGGCACGGCGGAGAATAAATGTCCCAAATTCACACATGTTGACATTTATTTGCCGCATTAAAGCTACTGAACCAAGCGACTGAGCTCAACTCCTGCAGAGCTGAAATAAAAAATGATCAAGCTCCATCTTTCAAGCATTTCCGGCCGCAGGATACTGCGCCGAGTCATTCAAAAACAAAACATGGAGGAGAGATATTGCAATGCATCGCAATAATTCAAGTATCGTGATGCATCGTGATAGAATCGCATCGTAGCCTGTGAATCGTGATTCGAATCGAATCGTGACTTCTTTGGCAATACCCACCCCTATTAGCCACTGACATTGGGTCTAAATAGAAAGTAGAGGAAATACAAAGTCATTCCCTGTGAAATGTTAATGTAGTAATTCTTTATTAAGTGGATGAGGCTGTCGCTTCTGTAGCGTTTTGTTTATTTCTCATTTGAAAAAGTCATGTACTGAAGTGTGTGTGTATCATAGGGGTGGAACGGTTCACAAAATCCACGCTTCGGTTCACGGCTTCGTGGTCACGGTTTTCGGTTCGGTATATGTTTATTGTTACAACGAAAAATAAAAAAAAATTATAAAAAATTAATGAAAAAAAAATTTTTTATGAAAAAAATCAAAAAAAATTAATGAAA